ACATTCAATGTTGTAAAACCAATAAACAAACGAATTCAAAAAAAAAAAAAAAATACTTCTTTAAGACTTCAAATCAGACCAGAAAACCAAATTCAAAGTCCTAAAGCTACATCTTATTGATTCTTCCAAATAATATTCAAACCAAAAAATGCAACTAAATGCCTTGAATTTCTTAAGTGGTCTCTCTATCTTTTAATAACTAATTATGTTAATTGCCATGATTTTCTCAAGTGTTCTTTGTTAAGTGTTCTCTCTCTCTCTCTCTCTCCCTCCCTCTCCCCCTCTCTCTCCCCCCTAATCTAATATAATTGTCTTGCCTTGATTTTTTTAAGTGATCATTCTTAAGTGGTCTTCTGATTTTTAAGTGTTCTTTCTTAAGTTGTCTCTTGATTTTTAAGTGATCTTTCTTAACTGGTCTCTTGATTTTCTTACGTAATCTTTCTTAACTGGTTTCCCTCTCACTCTATCCCTATCCTAAGATAATTGCCTTGATTTTCTTTCTTAAGCTAATTATCTTGATTTGTTAAGTGATCTTTCTTAAGTGATCTCTTGATTTTCTTAAGTGATTTTTCTTTTTCTTAAGTTATCTTTCTTATTAAGTGATCTTAATTTCTTTTCTGGAGTGATTTTTCTTCTTGAGTGATTTTTCTTTCTTCTTAAGTTATCTTTCTTCTTAAGTGGTATCTCTCTCTCTCTCTCTCTCTCTCTCTCTCTCTCTCTCTCTCTCTCTCTCTCTCTCTCTCTCTCTCTCTAGCATTTAGTAACTCATTTTCCTAAGCTAATTTCTCTTATTTTATTAAGTGATCTTTCTTAAGTGGTCTTTCTCTTTTTGCTAAGTTATCTTTCTTAAGTGATCTCTTTCAAATAATTCTTAAGTGGTCTCTCTCTCTCAAATGATTTTTCTTAAGAAATTAGCTTAAGTGATCGATCTATCATTTTAGTAAGATTTTCCTTAAGTTAATTGTGCTTTCCCGAGCTAATTGCTCTGATTTCTTAAGTGCTCTCTCTCTCTCTCTCTCTCTCTCTCTCTCTCTCTCTCTAGCATTTCAGTTTGTCTCTTCCTAAGCTAATTGTGATTTTCTAAGTTAATTGTCTTGATTTTCTTAAGTGATCTTTCTTTAATGCTCTCTCTCTCTCTCTCTCTCTCTCTCTCTCTCTCTCTCTCTCTCTCTCTCTCTCTCTCTCTCTCTCTCTCATTTAGTAAGCCTTTAACTAAGATAAGATAATTAAGTACTCTCTCTCTCTCTCTCTCTCTCTCTCTCTCAAGTGATCTTTCTTATGTGGTTTCACTCTTTCTCCCTCTTTTGCATTGCGTTATTATAAGCTTATTGTGTTTTCGTTAGCTAATTTCCTTAACTCTCTAAAGTGGTCTCATCTCTCTTTCTCTCTCCCCTAAACTAATTGCCCTGATTTTCTGAAGTGATATTTCTTAAGTGCTCTCCCCCCCCCCTCAAAGTTAATAGGCATAATTTTCTTAAGTGCTATCTCTCTTTCTCCTAAGCTATGTGCTCTATGTCTCCCTCTCTCTCCTAAGCTAATTACCCTGAGTTTCTTAAGTAAATAAATTAATCTCTCTTAAGCGGTCTCTCTCTGTACCATTTTAGTTAGCCTTTTCCCAAGATAATCACCTCTAAATTTTTTAAAGATTGAGGGATGGTTTCTAGATGGTATGGCAAAGAAACACAATTACCACAATACTTTAGGCTTTCAAGTCTCAAACTTGTGGCAACAAAATTTAGAGGTGATTACCTTGGGAAAAGGCTAACTAACTAGTATCATCCCAAAAAAAAAACCTAAAAAAACCAAGCAATTAGATCTAAAATTTTACCACACAAAAAAAAAGGAACAAAGGTCGAAGAAGACCATATTGGTGGTGGTGGTGGTGGAGTAAAGGGTAAGATTGAAATGGGTAGGGGTGGTTGTAGAAGGAGAAAGATGGGAATAATTCTGATTTTTGGGTACAAATAGTGAGAGGGAGGATTAAGGTTTTCTGGAAAATTAGGGTTATCCGAAAGTTGGATAGTTTTAATTTGGGGAAGATGTATTTGTAAATTTTAGTATTCCGTAGTTGGTATTTATAACATGGGTGTTGTTGTGTATTTTTAAGGGTATTAATAAGGAATAAATATAAAAACAATTCTTATAATATTAATATGTGTTCAGCGGTCTAGTGATGGGGAGGCTAAAATTTTAAACAAAGGTCCATGCGTTCGAAACCTAAGGGAATTAACATTCCCTTAATTTTATTTTATTTTTTTGAAAGAAGTCCCAAAAACAAGACACTTAAATTAATATCAGAATGAATCAGATTACATATAGAAGAGCGAAAGTGGTTATGCTATACTTTCCTACCAAGCACCCAATATTGCCACCCTATGTTACATGGACTCGGGAACGGATGTCGGACACGGACACATGTCCAAGTGTTCGATCCGGCAAGTTCCAAAATTTTAGGACACGGGTACGGGTATGGGGACAAGTCAATACGTCACTTAAAGTTATATAAATAAATTATATATTACAAAAACTTTAAATATTTCATTATGTCCACCCCTATTAACTTTAATTTTAATTCTTTCCTCGGTAAATTCTCCATTAAGTGGCAGTCTTCTCTCCATCAATGGTGGTCTTCGAACAAGAGGTGTTTTTCTTTCATGTTTCTCATCTTTTTTTCCTCTCCACTCTAAATGGAAGTGTCCGAGTGCACAGTGAAGTGTCGGACACATGTCCCGTGTCCGTGTCCGTGTCCGTGTCGTGTCGTGTCGTGTTGACACGGACACTTCACGATTTTAGCCATGTCCGATTAACATAGTTGCCACCCCTTCTAACCCAAGACCAAGACAAAGAAGAAAAACTACCAGCCACTATAGAAATGTCTTCAAGAATCAAGTGAAACAGGCTGCTGCCTTTTTCACTTCGATTGAGTGCATTAATCACCACCTCACAGTCACTCTCCACCACCACAGTTCTCACCCCAAGCTCCACCGCAAGCTTCATACCTTCCATAATGGCCTTAGCCTCAGCAAATTTAGGTTCACACTGTCCTGGTAGAACCAAAGAGGCAGACCACACAGCCTTCCCCTCACCATCCCTAGTGTCACAGCATAATTTTTCGCGCTGTGCAACACTAGGAAATGCTCCTAGTCAGCCTTACTCTAAAGCCCACGAGGTTAAATTACCCTAGTAAGTTTTACGCGGAAGCAATACTAAAACAATATAAACTAAATACACAAGATTAAACCGAAAGCAACAATATATTTTATTGATTATCAGACAAAGTACAAGTGTTTGCGGAATGGCTTTATTCTGACTTGATACCTTGGACAACCCCTTTATAGGCAAATGGGAGGACAACCCCTTCCCATGGGCGAACAAACACGAGCGTGCATATATGCCAAGTGGCATCCATGCAATGCCTACAATTGGCTAAACTAATAAACAGATAAACATAACCCACGTAAGCATAACCGTCCTTATCCAAAGCATAGCCAAGCAGCGCCTCTCCAAGCATCGCACCTGTTCGCACCAAGAAGCCTATCATTCGCACTTGTTAACCGTCATCCATGCCACTATAGGCATCTTACCAACCGACGCCTCCCTTGGTGACCAACGCTGACCCATCAAGGATAACTACCTTGGCGTGTGCCCGGCACACGCATCAACGAAGAGCCACCAAGTAGTCTGACCACAATCATTGCCTGTGCATGCTCAACTAACGCACCACTTCGCCAAGCATTGCGTTGCTCAAGCAATGCATTGCTTCGCAACCAATGTGACGTTTCGCAAGCATCACGTTGCTTATCCAAGCAACGCATCGCTTCGCTAATCGACGTGATGCTTCGTAAGCATCACGTCGCTTGGCAAGCGTCGTGTCCCTTCGCTTGCTGCACGTTCCCTTACCCAAGCATCGCAACGCTTCCCCAAGCGTCGCGTCGCTTCACAATCCACGCACCACAGCCAAGCCCCAAGCGACACCTCGCACAAGCGCGCACCATAGCGCAATGTCCAACGGACAATAGCCAACCATATGACTTAGTACAGGCACCATAGCAAGTACTATTAAGATAGTGTCGTTTCACACACAAGTCGTAGCTTTGAGCTAAGCACCAAGGCACCTATGCGTGCTACGGCAGCATAGCCTACGCACACATTGCCCCCCACCTAAGTTACGCATCCAAACCCTCTAAGTATCAAGCCTACAACCGTGCCAAGGTCTAGCATGCCCCATACGATGCTAGCACCATGGCCCATGGCCCAAACCAAGGAGGTGTCTATGGCCGCACCCTGCCATAGGAGGCACTCACCCCCTATAGAGCTTTATTTTGATCTAGGCTTGAAATACTAGTGAATACTGGTATGACAGTAACACAATAATGGCACCTTTGGCCCATCCATTACAACCAAAGATAAATATTATATCATATATATGATGCTACAAACTTACAAACGACACAATTAACTACACCATAGAGTTAATGATACTATTTACAAGTATTTACAAGCGCACTCGCTCATTATGCCAATGCACGATTATTAAGGGTCTTACACCTAGCCACCACACCAACCCCAAGACCCACTGCATCCAAAAGCCCCGCATCCACATTTATTTAATTTGATCACCAGTAGGAGTCCAACAGACCTGACTCCTAGTAGTGCTTCTCGGTTTCGCCTCCAGCTTCACCGAATCAAGCTCCCTCATAAGTCATAACCTTCTGCACATACTTCCAAACATCCCCCAGTTCGTCTCACTCCTCTTTGAACAATCCCCTCATTCTAGCACCCCAAATAGCCCAGCAAAGAACCATAACCCATCTTCGGTTCTCATCATCTAAGCCTTTGAAGACAAGCTGACCCCAGTCCAAGAAGCACAACATTCGCTTTATTTTTTAAATAATACATGTATCTCTTAAAGTAAAGAAAATAAAGTTCAAATGATTTTTAATTTCAATAGAAAAAGAGCAAATTTATTTGATGCGACTATCTCAGAAGTTTACAAGTAATAAAGAAAGGGACGCTAATTCAATCCCATGATAAACTATCCCATGCAGGAATAAACAGTTTTATAAACAAATGTGCCTCATACAGCAGCCCATACAAAGGACAAGCGCAAGATGTTAGACGGAAAATGGCTAAGCTATACATGTATTTTCCGGTGCTGTGACAAAAAACCAGACTTCTAACTCTTGAGGCTTCGCCCATCTTGGGCTCTTGGCATAAGGTTTGCATTTCATCAGCTACATCTGAACTGGAATCACATACCTTGATCTCTAGTTCTCTAAGATTTATTATGTTTGCTTTAATTTGTGGGGTTTAGGAGATCTACCATATAGAATGCTTCATGCCAAGGCCATTGCACGTTAATATAAGCCCTTTATAGCGATTCAGATAGTCCTACAGCACAAGTATATATTCATAAGAAACCTCCATCAATAGAAAGTGAGCAATGAATACAAAAATGGAGCAAAGAACAGAGAATTCTTACCATTACATTGTAGTCATAGGTCATCATCCCTTTCATGTCATATTCTTGCCGCTTCATGGGATCACTCAAGACTGGCAATAAACAACAAAGAGGAATTCATCATAAAATCAGTACTACTACTGACAGGAATAGATGAAAGCCAACAGGCTTTCTTTTATGTTCTTCAACTTAACCTTCCCCATTTTCAAGGTAAAACCAGAAATTTAAGTTATTCAACGCCAAATTAGGAAGTACTAGATGATTTCACCAACAGCTCCACCAATTAGACAAAAGCTTTTGATACAGGAGCTCAAATAGCTACCAGAAAATTGTGCACCAGATACCCTTATGCAGTTATACTCACCGAACATTGTCCATTAATCAAAAGCAGAAATTTATGAACAAAAAATTCACGGGAACAGATCTCTAATAAGCTTAATGCATCCAAATAAGTTCTTGCAAAAGGCACCAATAGGCATAGCATCAAAAATTCTATAAATAGAAAAAAGAATAGCACAGTGATCTCATCTCAACCCCTAATCAGGCTTGGGCATCAATACATAGACATGCTAGCTTCCCTTAGATGAAGAGGCCATTCCTAATACCAGAACTTTTGGACCATACTATTGCCTTATGGCTCAGTAGGCTCATCTAACAGTGGAAGCAAAGAGACTCCCAAACACTTCCAAAATCACCAACAAGATCATGCAACGAATGCAAAATTTCAGGGAACGCTTGTCGCATCACCAATAATAAACATGCAGATAAAGTTGTAACATTTACACTCTTCCAGTCTTCCCCATGTTCATGGTTCAAATAACCACAGCATCAACATTGTATTCCAACATAAACAAAGCGATTGTCTAATACAGAAGCTAAGTTGCACCATGTTTATGATCACCCACAAAGACACAATCCAGCCTAAAAAGACATTAAAAAGCATGATACTTCAACAGCCAAATGATCAAGTAACACAAACCTTGGTAAGCCTCATTTATCTCTTGAAACTTCGATGTACTACCATCTTGCCCTTTTTGCTTATCTGGGTGCCATTTCTTCAGTACAATTAACAATAAAATTATTTAATTTCAATGCCAATAAAATCAAATGAAAAACTCAATAGTTAAGTACAAAATTTGAAACCCACAAATTGATTGAATCAAATAATTCAAACCAAATTCAACAGTAAAATAACACCAACCAATGCTAGTCGTATGTAATTAGACCGAATTGCTTCCTCTGTAGCATCATAATCCACTTCCAATATTCTATAATAGTCCTACACAAAATCAATTCCATACAAAACCATGAAAATCAGCATAAATACCAGCTCAAACAAGAAAACCCCATCATCAAACAGATGAATCACCAATAATCTAGGATAAACAGCAACAATTATTGAAGTTAAGCAACATAATTCCAGTAAAATCATGTATAAGGTGGAGAAGGGAATCAACTATTACCATTTAAGCCACTAAACCACAAATGACTATGATATAGACCGGAATTAAAGCCCAAAAATTTAACCAACTAAACTACTTGACATCCAAATATGATAAATTATAAATTGAGAGGAAATGGGGATTAGAGAAAAGAATAAAGGGTAGCTGAAAATGTAAGCAACATACCTTGGGTTTAGAAAGAAGAGAGAGAAAGTCAAAATTGAAGGGAGATTCTTGTTGTTGCTCATCATTGTTGTTGTGTTCATCGAACCAATTCTCTTCCCACATCATTTTGCCTCAAAATTTGCAAGATAAGCTTCTAATTGTTTTTTTTTCCTTATATATATAATCCTGAAAACCAGAACCTGCAAAATTATGTTGTGTGAATTGGGGTTTTTGAGATAGAAAAAGGGTTAGTCTAGGGTTTATTAGATATTGAAGGTGAAGCAGATAATTTTGGTTTGCATTTCTGGGGAATGCAGAGTATACGTGTACTGTAAATGGATGTCCTCGAAAACAAAAAGGTTATTGAGAGTTCCAGACTTTTAGATATGCTCCATGGTCTATGACCATCCCTCAAAGGGTCAAAAGATTCAAAACTAAGTTCAATAGACGTAAATGTCAATTACTCACTTCGTTTTTAATTTTAATTAATAATATTCCTATAATCTTAGTTATAAGTGATCTTGTTAATTAATATAGATAGATACTTTATTATATTAGTGAAGTAATATATGTTATGAATTACGGAGTACCAAACATGAAAACTTAGATGTTACTGCAACAAAAGAATGTAAAGAAGTATAAATTTTTTTCTAAAAACTAAAACAACCTTCTAATTAAATAATTGGACTTTCTTATGCTTAAAGTTTGATTTTTTTTTTATTTGTTAATTTTACTACCTTTGTATCATTATTATGTGCAACAAATGAACTTGTACGGATTTATAGGCAAGATTTGTTTGAGTGTTTAATGGAGAGAGAATTAATGATACAAGATGAGGAGAGAAACAAAGAGAAATGACAAGTCAAAAGAAACGAAAACTAAAGGCATGTTTAACCCCCAAAGGGTAGGGTTTGTCTTCCTCTTCCATTAGAGATGCTCGTGAGCTTTAATTTCTTTATTGAAACTGTTCTGTTCTCCATTTAAGGTCTTTGAATACAATTGATGGAGGATAGAAAATGGAAGAAGAAGAAGAACCAATGAAAGAGAGAATGACATTTAACATATGAATTTGCAATAATATTAGCCCTAGTTACTACTCAAAATGACAAGCATACCCTTTGAAATACATCTTTTATTTATCAATAATAATAGAAACTTATAATTACCCAACCTTTAGATTTATTTGCATATCCCTAACAAAAACGATTCTCAGTAATTTTTGAAAAACCTAATTCTACATACTCTAAAGTACTCTCTTTTGTAGCCTTGTAGTCCCTAAAACTTGGAGGGGGGGTTGAGAAATCAAGGGTTACATTAGTCATTTCAACGGTGAAAACGAGGGTAAATTTGTTATTTTGATCCTTTTTTTCCTCCATTTTTCTTTTCACCCATGAACAAGGCAGCTCAAACTACCTTAAAAATTCCACCTTATTCCTCCACACGAGCCATTCGTCCCCACTAGGGGTGCTAATCGAGCGAGTCGATCATGAGCTAAGGGGTGCTCGACTCGACTCGAAAACTTTTTTCATGTGCTCAACTCGTGGTCATTAAAGTTTTGAGCCAATAAAACTTGCTCGACTCGTGCTCGTTAAATTTTCGAGTCGAGTAACTCACGATTTGCTCGTTAAAATTTTGGCCCTTCTAAAATTATAGGTCTTTATTGTTTTTGTTCAATTTATATAGTTTCTTTTATTTATTTTATTTATTTTATTTATTATTAAAGATTTACTCTTTCTTTTTTGATAATATAAATTAACTCTTATTAAGTGTCAAATTTGTTCATGGTAATAACTTTATTTGTAAATTCTAAATTAATAAAATATATTATCGAGTTGCTCACGAGCTTATCGAGTCGACTTATAGATTGCTCAACTTGTGCTCGTTAACATCTCGAGTCGAGCCAACTCGAGCCGAGTTTTGACTGAGTCGAGTTCGAGTTGCTCACGAGCTGCTCAACTCGATTAGCACCCCTAGTCCCCATGAGCCAACATTTGTTGTTGAGATGGAGATGTCGTTGTGAATGAGATGCTTTCTCTAAGGGATTAAGTACGACCATAGTTTACACTATTTGCTACTAGGGATGTTCTTTTGTTCCATCGCCGCAAAGCGGACGGCGTTAGGACCATTATTGTTGAGAAATTAAAGGAATAAGAAGATGACGTTAGGTAGACGACGGGATGAAGAAGACGAATTTGTGGTGGTTGTGATGGGTTTTGATGTGATGGTGGTGGCGGCTGATGGTGATACGGTGGGTGGAAAACCATCGATTTATCTTATTTATTTTCTAGATAATAAAAATAGAAGAAGTTTTAAGAAAGTACCTACTTTGCCATCGGATATACTTCCTCCGTTTTTTTTTAAATGCATCACTAGAGATTTTGTACAATTCATATGTTACATTTGACTTAATTTTTTTTACTATTATATAACTTATTAACATGATCATGTAATCTATTGTTAGATTTGTTACAATGTCTACTTTCATAATATAAGTATAATTTAATTTTTTATTTTTATTTTTTATTTATTTTTACTAATTTCTAATTAAAGATTTTGATGATCAAAATTGTACCTCATCAAATATAAAAACTCAAGTAATGTATTTAAAAATAAATTAATAAATAAATAGAGGGAGTACACAATATGTATATCGGGTTGATTAAGGGACACTCCCTCTTTAGATTTGTAGAAGAAGAAGAAAGCGAAAGGAGAAATAAATCAATAAAAGAAATCATCATTGACCGTGGAGAAAGCCTGAAGGCATAAAGGAATCAAAGTCAATATCCTACATGATAGCTACGTTAACCATTCATCATTCATTAACAGCCTGAAAACAAACAATCAAATTCAGCCCACCATTTTCTTTTCAATTGTATTATATTCAAACAACAACAACCTTTCCTATTCACAAGCAGCCAGAAAATCTCCAATCTCCTTTGAAATCCACAAACTCATGTTGTCCCTTACCCCTTAATTTTCATTAAACACTCGAGTGATCGAATAATCAACTACGGCAAAACAATTTTTTACCCATTAATTCATAATTTATACCTATAAGTATATTTTTAAAAAATTAGATAGATACATTCGGGCGTATAAAAGACACTCTTGAGTCTCAAGCCTTAATCTAGGCCACTAATTAAAAAGGATATTGCTAACAAACGCCCTCGGACGTTAGATAACCTTTTTAAAATAGTTTCTAAAATGATACTTCATACTTCGTATTAATTTGAAAATATATATCAAAATTCTTCGTCGTTTAGTGTAATTAATGTTTATTATAAGTTAATATTTCTACTTTTAATTTTCTTATACAACACTTTTAGGGTGTTCATTACCGTTTACCAAATAAAAAAAACATTTTCCCCTGAAAATTTGAACTCCAAATTCAGACAATATTACCATACTTTTCAGTTTTCATTCAGTCTTTTCATACACCAAAATATCAACCCACCCAATGGCCTAAAAAACCTCCCTTTCTCTCTCCTTCTCCTCGTTTACATCACTCCACATTTCTTCGACAACAACATTCAACAATGGCTTCTTCACTCTCAAATCTTTATTCATCAACATCTCTCAAACCCAAGATTTCCCACCTCCCAAACATCACCAAAAGCCCGATTTCAGGCCCGAAATCAATCTCTTTCAAACCCATTTCATCTGTGGCCCGAGACATACCCGCTGATCTTTCAACTTCATCTTCTTCCTCAACCAATAATCTTCCCTCTTTACGGAAGAAGAAGGAAGATGGGCTTTTGGAGAAAGACCCACGGGCCTTGTGGGCCCGATATGTGGAGTGGTTGTATCAACACAAGGATTTGGGCCTGTATTTGGATGTGAGTAGAATCGGGTTTACTGAGGAATTTGTTAATGAAATGGAGCCCAGATTTCAGAAAGCTTTTAAGGATATGGAGGAGCTTGAAAATGGCGCCATTGCTAACCCAGATGAAGGTAGAATGGTGGGTCATTATTGGTTGAGAAATTCGAATCTTGCTCCTACCTCATTTTTGAAGACTCAGATTGATGATACTCTTGATCGTGTTTGGCAGTTTGCTAACGATGTTGTTTCTGGCAAGGTATTGTTTTTTGATTTTTGTTAAAGTACTTTTTTTCTGGTCATTCTGCTTTGTGGGGCCGTGAACGGACAATGATGTATACGAGATTTGAACCGATTGTACGAACTTTTAACTAAGTAACCTTGTTGTCATATGTTTTTTTGGAGCTCAATTTAGTTAAAGTTTATGATAGAATAGAAAATAAAAAGTGAAAAGTTCAATTGAAGTTAGAGGCTTTCAGTGGATTAATTGAGAAATTTGGATTGATTTATGCCAATGTATGGGGCTATTTGGTGGAAGACTAGTAATTTATTGGACTGATTTGATGATAGGGAGATTTTTAGTTTGTTTGAGTAATTTTATTGGAGGGAAATTTGGAATTTGATTGTGATTACTAATTTAAGGTGAAATTGGAATTTTTGGATGAGTATGGTAAGTTTTTTTCCCTATGTTTATGAGATCATATTAGTTGATATACTTGTTAGTTTTGATCAAGCATGTGTGGAAGTTGGGATTTGTACCAAAGGAAGTGAAGTTATACTGGAGGGATTTATGTGTTATGTGTAGCAGTGATCTTCATTAAAAAGTTCATGTAGATTTCAATGTCTGAGGAATTGAGGATTACTAAGTTACTAACCGGAGTATGATTGAAGTTGGGGCTAAAAACAATAGATCACGGCAGCTGAGTAGTGCTAATGATTAATGTCAAGCTCATGCAAGGCCAGATGAATGATAAGTTATGTAGGAAGTGTTTAAGATGTACATCAGATCATCAGATGAATATACTAATTGTTAATTGCCAATTGAAGAATGGCATAATTGTTTTTTTTGTGGTTGTTTTGATAAAGAAGAATCGAAAATGGGGTGGAATCACTTGTAGGATAAAATATTGTTACAGAGTAGCACCATCAAGAATGCACAAGTATTTTGGTTTCATGTATGTTTTGTTTGGACTTTTCGGTGTCATAATCCATGTTCAACTGTTGCAGATTATGGCTCCGAATGGACAACGATTTACCCAAATACTTTCTGTCGGAATTGGTGGTTCAGCACTTGGGCCTCAGTTTGTTGCGGAAGCACTAGCTCCTGACAATCCACCCCTCAAGGTATCTGATATTCCGTCCATGTATTTATATTGCTTCATTGCTTCTAAATTCGTCCATTTTTTGGTCTTTGTTTGTCTAAAACCCTCCATTTTCCATAGAGACTCTATAAACTTTTGTTTCACTAAGTTCCCTTATCCTACCTACCTTACAATTTTTGGCTTATTTGTGAACTTGTGATGCTTTTGTACTCCATGCAGATAAGATTTATTGACAATACTGACCCAGCTGGAATAGA